TATCCTTCTTCTAGGGATTTCATCAGAGTAACAGAAATCTATGCATCATACCGAGTCGTAGCAATTGTGATTGCGTTCTTCGACCGAATGCTAGGAGGCATCTCCAGAAAACCTAACTGTCGAGTACACTGAGTTCATCTTTTACGTTGTAAGAATGGTCGTAGCTCATTAGGGACTTCACCAGACCATCCCAAATGTATAGAACTGCTGTTCCATGGTTAGAGATCGATAGGTGCTTTGTTATTCACTAAATATCTTTTATCTTTAATTGGAATAATGTCCAACCGTTGCTTGAGATTATTCAACTCGATTGAATCCATTCAGTTTTCTTTGATTGTTAATGAAAGGTAACTAAATACGGCAGCGGTTACATTAATAAACCTTGACATCCAGTGTACTTTTAGTTGCTTCATATAAGCACTTAGGATAAGTGCCTAGTTCAGGAATTTTGGGAAGTCCATCCCTTTGGATACCCTTTGTTCCACCTGGTAAATCTAGCAGGGATTCGTGTTCGGAGAATATCTTGGTGAACAGAAGCGGGAGCAGAACATTTCACGTCAAATTTGACGGATATTGTTTCTTCCTCTATTTGGAAGATATATGTTTCCACAGATTGTACTGTTCTTCATGCAAAAGCAAATTTTTTTAGAGTTTTCCTCCTTCGGGTGGCATAGCAGGACACCAAGTCCAGGTGGAGATACGTCACATTTTATGAATGTGGTTTTTTTTCGGTCGAAATATGTCGAAAGTAAAGATAATAATAATGGAAGATCATTGGCAGGGAAAAGCACTTTTTTACGAGTGGCCCCAATCCACGGTTTATCTTTAAGCAACAAAGCGTGGCACGGTTTGAGTGCTTTTCAAACATTAGTGAGAAATCAAAGTTAGCGAGCTTCCGTTATAAACAAATGTCTCTGACGGTTTCGCTAGTCATGAACGCGTATCAAATTCAACCAAGTTAAATTATATTTTGTCACACTATTGCGTAATTAGGGTTGTGGTCCGTGAACGTCTGAGAGATATTCTGTGAAGGCAGAGAACTGTCAGCTACCTCGTTCCAAATAAGAAGGCTTCTGTTTAAAACTGATCTTACTGCTATTTGTGCTGTTGAAAAAAGACTCACTTACTTCTTTAATACACGCCTAGGCGTGTTGAGTAACAGTCGGGGCGAACCGCATAGTCACGAGGATCTGCTTTTCTGTGGTGGAAACCGGCAACTTAAGCCCCGGGAGGTGGAATGGTAACCCNCATAAGGCTCCGATAGGTCAGGCGTTGTATGAGCCCAACGACAGCATAGCTGTCTACCACCACAGTTGTGTGGCAGTGGCGGAGTTAGAACCTCGGTTCAGCCGATATAAAGCTCTACAGTGACAGCGATTAAACCACTACGACACCCTAA